ACTAAACCCAGCTATTCTCTTTGTCTGTCTTTTCTTCATCCTTCACTGGCTCTCCCTCAGGTTCGCCAAACCCTTGGCTGTGCAGGTGTGGTTCATGATTGAGCATTGACCTATGAACCAGGAAGTCGATTTGATTCTTGGTTTTGGGCACATGCTCAGGTTGCAATCTCGATCCCCAATGATGCGTAAAGGAGGCAGCTGATGAATAGTTCTCTCTCATCATTGATGTTTCTAGCTCCCTCTCTCTCTCCCTTCCTCTCTGAAATCAATAAAAATATTTTTTAAAATAAATAAATGGCATAAGAACTCAGATGGTATGTAAAACTATTAAAATCTATCAGATATTCTCCAACTATACCTTTAATTGTTGATTATTAATATAACAAAGTTGATGGTGAAAAGTTTAAAAAACACAAAAAAATTACATAATGAAATTTATCATTACAGACATGATAAAAATCACTTTTCATAATCCAACAATTCAGAATAAACCATTATAAAATATCAGGACATTAAATTCCAGGTCCATACCTACACATGTTTTTTAACACATATATTATAAGGTATGTATTTTATAATTATACTGACAATATTTTCAACTGCTCAAAAATTCTTTAAAACATTAATTCTAACATCTGTACGGTAGTACATCATGAATGTCTAATGATTTATTTAAAATGTGTCCTTTTGCAGATAATAGATAGTATCTACTTTTTGTTTCAGAAGCAATGCAAGGATGAGTCTCTACAAGCACCAGTTTTTTAGTTTACATTTTATGCCCTTTCTGTAAGTTGTTTCCAAACAGGAATTGCATAGATAAAAGACATAAACTAACCCCATATATCAGTATTCATATCTCTAAGACTGTTCTTAGAAATTTTTATACTTTACATTCTCAGTACTCATCTAACTGTGTCTTCACAGGTATTCATGACTACAAGGTGGGGTAAAAGTAGGTTTATTGTTGTGAATACATCAAACATGGAGTTTATTCTTGTATTATTATTATTTATTAACTATTGTATTATTTTCCATATGAACCTACTTTGCTTCATGGTGCTCCTTTTGTATATATTTTGTAAAGGCAAAATATTATTTCCCTCTACGTTTTTTTTAAATATATTTTATTGATTTTTTACAGAGAGGAAGGGAGAGAGATAGAGAGCTAGAAACATCAATGAGAGAGAAACATTGAACAGCTGCCTCTTGCACACCCCCTACCAAGGATGTGCCTGCAATCAATGTACATGCCCTTGCCCGGAATCGAACCTGGGACCTTTCAGTCCACAGACCGACGCTCTACCACTGAGCCAAACCGGCTTCAGCATTTCCCTCTACTTTTTAAATTCTATTCATTTATTAGTTACTTAGTTGATTACTCAATCATTTATGAAGTTAAACCTCTCACACACCACCCCCTTATTTTCATTAATTATTTTTGATTCCACATTTCTTCTTTATCTGTTTATTTCTTTTCTTCATTTGTCTACTGGATGTGTTTTTTAATACATTTTGAAAAGAGTGTTAACTTATTAAAAGAATACATACTTTTTTAAAATATTAGACTGGCTCTGACCAGTTTAGCTCAGTGGATTGAGCATAGGCCTGCTGACTGAAGGGTCCCAGGTTCAAATCTGGTCAAGGGGATGTACCTTGGTTGTGGGCACATCCCCAGTAGGAGGTGTGCAGGAGGCAGCTGATCAATGTTTCTCTTTCATTGATGTTTCTAACTCTCTATCCCTCTCCCTTACTCCCTATAAAAAAATCAATAAAATATATATTTAAAAAAAATATTGGACTGATATAAAAGAAGACAACAAAGAAAGCAATAAAACCAAGCCACCTAGCAAGAGCCTGCATAGTGACCAGGGATCCATGTTTCCATAAATAGGCACATGTGTGGGTAGGGACTCATATTGATAATGAATGAGGAGAATGAGAGCTAGAGAACTGAATAATCTTAAAATGCTGAAATTGCATTAAACAAGCTTAAAAATATATTAAAGTATAATTGAATTTAAGAAAATAAATACAAACTCAACTGATACTAAAGGGATTTTGAAATTTCATATAGATGTCCTTCACAAATAGAGGGACTATTTCTTTTGAAAAATCTCTTTAAGATTGAGAGGAGAGATTTAGATATCTACACTGAGTTTGAAGTCATTGTGGTTTCATTTCACCCACACCATTTTAAGTACTATAAGGTTGATTCCATGCTATATAAATGAGATTTTTAGTAGTGCTCTGTTTCCTTCTTCCTCCCTATCCCCTCTGGCCTGTTTTTATTGCCTGTATTAATTTTTCCCCCTGTCATCTTTGATTGCATTTACATCCTATTCAGATGTATAATTGGGTTTCTTTATGTAGATGAGATTAATTCTCAACCTCAGTCATTTTACCACATCTCTTTTCATACTTCTTGAGTTTGATTCCTTTATGGATTTTGTATGGGTTGCTTCGTTAATTGGCATATAAATAGTTTTATGTTTGAAAATATCTTTATTCTTGATATTGGGACAATAGCTTGCCTGCATATAAGGTTTTAGAGTAATTCCTCAGGATAATGTAGGCTTTTCTGTAGTCTTGTCTCCTAGTTCTGAGATATCTGGGGGCCTGATGTCTTGTACTCTAGGTAAGTTTTCTGTCCTAGTTCCCCTCTTGCTTTATCCCTGCAGTTCATTACCTTATTCTGGATACGTCTCTTTTGACCTTCCTATATTTGTACTTCCATGATATCTAGTGTGCCCTTTCAATGATTACACCCATTTCTTTATTCATGTTACATTTGGTCACTTCTTCAGAATTTCAACTTCTTCTATCATGAATTAACATTTCAACTGTTTCTATTCTATTTCTGCTGATACAAATTCATGAATATATCTGTAATGGTACAGTTTGGGTTTTGTATTTATTGCCTATTGTTTTATCTTTTCCCTTCATTCTGCCTTTTCATGTTTACATTCTGTGTTTTTATTTTTAATTCAGGTATTTATATTATGCAAGGCACTAATGCACAATCTTCAGTTTCTCAAGCTTTTTTTCTTCCTAATTCTTTTTTTTTTTTCCTACTGTAGTACCTTGCATCGTTTTTGTCCCATTTTTTCTTATCCTACTTATGTTTAATAGTAACGGCTCTGTCCAGACCTTTATATTTGATAGCTGAATCGTTTCCTCCTGGACTACAATTCGGAGTTAGAAGTAACTTGATCTTTTCTATCCCTGTAGGGTTATATGACGGGATGATATGCTCAGTGGGATTTGAGGTTGGCTCTCTTCTGAGTTGATCGAAAGTCTCCTGCAGGCAGACCTCCTTCGCACAGGCAACTGTGTCTTCCATGCTTCTGGAAAAGTTCTGTTGACCCAATTTAGCTCCTGCTCTGGAAGAAGGGAAAACCTCTTGCTACCTAGGATCAAATATCAGAGTGGTATGTGGAATCTTTCATACTTCAGCACTTTTCTTTACCTCCATCCAGGGTCCATTTACCTACTCCTTCCTAGATAGACTGCTTCTTCCTAATTGGGTAGTATAATGAGGAATCTCAGAATGGTATTTACTCATTTTCTCTGTATAATTTCAGCAGTGGAGAGTGGTAGGTTGGGGAAGGTCTAGTCAGATATAAAAAGTTCATTAGACAGTCCCAACTAGAGTCTTTATTTCTCACTGTTCTTCATTTTTTAGAAGTTTATACAATAAGGCTATTCCCCTTTTCTTATCAGATGTTAAGATTTTGTTTTATTTATTTACTTTTCTGTAGTTTATTTCATTTATTTTTATTGCTGGTGTTTTAATTTTACATTTATTTTAAATTTAATATAATATACAATTATATCAACTACATTTATATATTAACTTAATACTTAATGAAAATTAAAAGAGATGATCATATCAATGCTCTTTTCTGGAAGATACACTATAACCTAAATTAATTCAATAAAAAAGAATAAAACGTAAGTTTATAAGCTTGAGTTCTTATTGAAATATATATCTAATTCAATCTTAGAAATTATCTCTTAAATATTGCATCTCAAATAAGAAATTACTATTCTTAACCTCACCTCATTTCCTGATATTTGCTCTTCAGAGCATAGTGTTATAATGTCAATTTAGTAATACTTACATTAAGGTTATTAATTATAATTTACATAAAGAATAAATGTCAATTCTAAAGCTAGATGTATTCCAAGATAACTATTATTCATTTTACATGGTTCCTTTCTGTTCTTTTGGGTAAATCTCTGAGTTGGTTGAATTTTGGCATATTAGATTTCTTTTTTTAGTCTTCTAGATTGCATATGTCTAAGGATTTTCAGATTTGGCAACTATCATTAATTTTGCTTTGTATTTAAAGACAGTAAAAAATTTGGGGGTTATAATTTATCCTAGAATTACTTTAGACAAACCTCTTCTATTATCTGGTCTGGAATATTGTAGTATGCATTATGAGGTAAGCTTGATATTTGTCCCTATTTGGTGACTTTTCCTCCCTAAATACTTTAGATTATTTTTTTTTTAGCCAATGAATTAACTTTCTTTTTCAGAATAATCTATTTTGCAGTTGGTAATTGTCAGTTTTTCTAAGGCTCTGGAGGGTTATTTCAAGCTGTAATTTCACATGTCCCTGTACTCCAGGTATTTTATTTTTCTATTTTATTTTTGAACTAGAGGCCCAGTGCACAGATGCATGCACATTGAAAGGAAATTAAGTAAAAGGTGGCTGGCAAGACGGGACTAGGTGAGACTGGCCCAACATGCCTAGCGCCAACCTTCCATGGCCCCTCCCTGGCTGGCCACACCTGGGGTGGTGCCAGGGCTTGAAGGGTGTCTGTGAAGTGAGCTGAATCCCTCTGGCAAGTGTATTCCTTGGCCTGATCTTGCGGGGATTGGGCCAAAACCGGCAATCTGACATTCCCCAAGTGATCCTGGAGTGTGAGAGGGCACTCTGCACTTTCTTTTACTCAGCAGCTCGTGCATTGAGCATCTGCCCTCTCGTGGTCAGTGTGTCATAGCTACTGGTCGGACAGTCAGATGATCTCATAGGCTTTTATAGAGAGTGATATTTATTTTTTGTTTGTTCTGTCACGTTTGTAAGGAATAAATGCAAATGATTTGCTGGCTCTCATGTTTTTCTTCTATATCTATCATATCATATACTTGTTGTTTTACTTCCCAGTCTCCTTTCCTCCACCCTGTTCACAGTGCATGTAATTAGTTCCTTTTTTAAAAAATATATTTTATTGATTTTGTACAGGGAAGAAGGGAGAGAGATAGTTAGAGATACTTAGAAACATCAATGAGAGAGAGTCACCGATCAGCTGCCTCTTACACACCCCCTACCGGGGATATGCCCGCAACCAAGGTACAATACATGCCCTTGACCAGAATCGAACCTGGAACCTTTCAGTCCCCAAGCCAAAGCTCTATCCATTGAGCCAAACCGGTTTCGGCATTAGTTCTTTTTTATATATTTTATATATTAGTTCCTTCTTATATATTTTTGTATGTTTAATTTTTTTCTTTAATTACCTATGATCCATCAGCTTACCTGTCATTTCATTCTGCTTACTTATAAATCTCTATTTCAGCCTTTGTATTTATTACAATTTTACTTTTCTACACTTCTCTCATTTTTATTTATTTATTGTACTAGAGGCCCGGTGCACAAAATTCATGCATGGAGGGGGTTGTCCCTCAGCCCTGCCTGCACCATCTCCAATCTGGATGTCCGACTGCCTGTTTAGGCCCAATTCCACTGATGAGATCGAGCCTAAACGGGCAGTCGTACATCCCTCTCACAATCCAGAAATGCTGGCTCCCAACTGCTCGCCTGCCTGTTTTCCTGATTGCCCCTAACCGCTTTTGCCTGCCAGCCTGATCACCCTCTAACTATTACACATCCCTGTCAGCATGATTGATGCCTAACTGCTCCCCTGCCAGCCTGTTTGCCCCTAATTGCCATCCCCCGCAGGCCTGGTTACCCCTAACTTCCCTACCCTTCAAGCCTGGTCCAATCCAAAGGCTCTCCACTGCAGGCCTGGTTCCCCCCCCCCCCCAACTCCCCCTCCATAAGGCCCAGTCACCCCCAACTTCCTTCCTCTGCTGGCCTAGTCACCACTAACTGCTCTCCCCTGCAGGCTTTATCGCTCACAACTGCCCTCCATTGTAGGATTGATCCCTCCCAACTACCCTCCCCTGCTGGCTATTTTGTGTCCACATGGGCGTAGTCATCTTTGAATACACAGGGACAACCACTTTGTGTGTTGGAGTGATGGTTAATTTGCATATTACTCTTTTATTAGATAGGATAGAGGCCTAGTGCATGGGTGGGGTCCAGCTGGTTTGCCCTGAAGGGTGTCCCAGATCAGGGTGATGGTTCCCTTGGGGGGTGGGTGGCCTGGGCCAGGGGCCTGTGGTGGTTTTCAGGCCAGCCACACACCCTCAGTGACCCAAGTGGAGGCCGGGGATTTGGGATATATTTATCTTCTATAATTGAAAATTTGTAGCCTGGAGCAGAAGCCAAGGATGACCAGGACTTCAGAAGCTTGGTTTTCTCCATTGCTGGGGGCAACCTAGACTCCTCTTTCCAGCTCCATGGCTGCCACCATTTCTGTTTGTATTTATTTATCTTCTATCATTGAAATTTGTAGCCCTGAGTGGAGGTCTAGGTTGGCAAGGGCAGACAGGAAGCTTGGCTTTCTCCATTGCCTAAAAAACCAAAGCCTCTCTCCTGCTCTCTATGGCAGCAGTCATCTTGGTTGGGTTTATTTGCATATTTGCTCTTGATTGGCTTGTGGACTTGGATTGTGGGTGGTGCAGAGGTACGATCAATTTACATATTACTCTTTTATTATCAATAGATAGGATTTTATTTTTCTCATCACCATTTATCCTCTCTATCTCTATGCCCTCTTCCACCTCTACCCACTGCTTCACTCAATAACCACACTGTTGACCATTCTCTCTTTCTTTTAAAGATGAATTGTTGAAAACTTTTCTAATAGAATGGAAAATAATTATTAGAAAACTTATGTTTCATTGAAAATGTATTTTCTTGTGTAGGTTACTCAGAAAGTGTCTGCTAATGTTTCTGTTCTTTTACATTTTCCTTGCTATTTATACACAGGATCCTTACTAACTTCTTTTACTTTTTGTGTGTATATGTGTGTGTGTGGGGGGTGGGGATGGGGGTGGTGGGGGCTTAGTATGGCCATGAGTGCCCATAAATAAATATGCTTCACTTTTCTGTTTTGAAGTAGAAATCTTTCAGTATTTTCTTTTCTTTTATTGAATATTATTTGAGTTTTATTTTCTCATTGTACTATATTATACTTAATTGAATTGGAAACATTTTATGTGGGAAGCTATTTTTAATTGTTATATAACTTTGCAAAAGCACTAAACATTTTTATAAAATTTCCTTAAAAGGTTGAGAAATCCAACATATGAAACACATTTCTATTATAGTTTTTGTGAAAGTGATTTGAGTCCATTTCTCTTAAATATTTTCTTTATTCCCTGTAGCAACTACTAAAATTTATGCAAAAATGTTCTTTATTGAAAAATCTTGTTGATATTTTATTATAAGTACTCTAAGCCAAAATAAGAACTGATAAGGTTAGTGTTGATGAAATAACTTTATGGAAGGAGTCTGGAGTACTAGTTTTTTATTGGAGTATTAGTTTTTTTATTAGATATTTTTAAATTTATTATTACAACATAATGCCATGAAAGATAAGCTCCTTGCATTAGAACCCAAAGTGACAATTTTAGAGCATAATTACTTTTTTTAATAAAACAATATAAAGACAATGTAACTGTCATGTATTTTATAAAGGGAAAATCATCTTAGAAAAAATCAGGTTTGACAAATGAAGGCATTTTTTAAAAGTTTTGTTGTAGTCAATGTGTCTTAGATTTTCTTTTCTGAAATCAGCTTTCTTTTGGTAACATTTTCTCTCACTGAATTTTTTTTTTATTCTGAAGTTATTTTCTTAAGCATATAATCAACAATATCATCTTTATTTTTTAATTTACTTTTATTGATTTCAGAGAGAGAGGAAGAGAGAGAGAGATAGAAATATCAATGATGAGAGATAATCATTGATTGGCTGCCTCTTGCCCACCTACACTGGGGATCAAACCCACAACCTGAGCATGTGACCTGACTAGGAATTGAACTGTGATCTCCTGGTTTATAGGTTGACACTCATCCACTGAGCCATGGTTGGCTGAGCATCAATAGCATCTTTAAACTTTAAAATGTCCTCAGAATATTTACTTTTTACATAACATAATATATACATCATTTGTAAATGTAAGTGCCTATTATTTATTAGATTCTATCGATCCGGAGGGAAGACCACAATCATAACAGTTGTCCTTTCACTCGGCATTGTCTTGAGCATCCAAGAGCCGTTACTGAGGAAAATGGTGATATGTTCCACCCTGGAGATTGTGCTGCTCCACGATATAATAAAAGAATATGCTCCCGTGTTAATTATGGCTTAGACATAGCTCCAGGTGCACATAATAGATGATGTGCAAGCCTGGTGCCCTGTGTGTCCGTGCCTCCACCTGGACGCTGTTGCCGGAGGAAATCAGAGCCCGTCCTGCTGCAGGTGGGCCATGGCAGGGGTCCAAGACGTAGCTCCTGATACTTCCGCTGCCCTCGGGGGAGATGTGCAGGATCAGTCCACAGAAACAGTTACGATCTCATTAAAGAATGAATCATCAAGAGTCAATGCGGGCCTGCTAATTGCCACTTAGAGATATGCATTTATTTTAACGATGAATAAAGGTATTTCCATCTCCTTCTGACCTAACCCTTTGTGGAAGTTATTAATCCTAACTAAATTTTCTTATTACACTTGCCATTTAAAAAAAAAAAAAAACTTTCTAATGTTTTTCCAACGTAAGAAGGATATATATTTCTACTAAGGAATTTCTAAGAAATGTAATATACCTTCCCGTGTTTAGATTTACATAACATCTACTGAAACCTCATACAATGGCTCAGTAGGCTTTTCACTGTTACACTGTCCTTTAAGAATTCTGGAATTCTGACATTGCGCAGTTGGCCCTCTAACATATTTATTACAGCAACACATTTAACTCTTATCTTAATGTACAAGAGGCCCCGAAGCACAAAATTCATGGAAGAGTAGGCTTTCCTTCTCCCAGCTGCTGGCACCAGCTTTCCTCTGGCACCTGGGACCCGGGCTTCCCTCTGGCCACTGGCAGGCACCTGGTATCCGGGCTTCCCTTGCAGCCCTGGTTTCATCAGGAAGGTCATCAGGAAGGTCGTACATAAGGACATGTGAAAGGATGTCTAGTCTAATTAGCATATTTTACATTTATTATTATAGATTTTCCTAGCCTTTATTTAAGGGAAAAAAAAACTTTTTGGCTTCAAGTTTATTGTATGTGATAATACTTTTGCAACTATTTCCCAAATATCTAACACCAATTAACACATAATTATGCATAAAATGTTCAAAAGTATTATAAATAATGGTTTTAGGTGGGGCAAAATGAATATTTGGCTATTGGCCTCTACATATATATTAATTCTCTGTTTAGATAAAACTCAGGAAAATATATTGCCTTGACTAATATTTCCTGTTAATTTTATTATATGTTTTGACTTAAAACATACAACCTAATTAAAATTCTCTAATCCTGGTGATTTTTTCATTCAAATGGAAAATATGATGAATAAATGAACCAGTCTATAAATGCTGCAATGAAATGTCTTCTTGAAAAATAAACTTATGTGGGTATAGACTATTTTTTATGAAAAAATACTACAAATATAGGCTTTTCCCATTTTTACCCACAAGTCTATTTTATGGAATTTAATAAAATTTGGAAATATCTTGATACATTTGTGATAGTGTTATTGTTGGTCTTACTTAATTATATTAATCATAATTAAGAAAGCCAAAATGTTGCACTATCAATGCCTCTAATCATTCTATGCCTTAACGAATTCACAATAAGCCTTTTCATCCTATAAAATTTATTCAAGTCATCTTTCTCATTTTTGGCTTGTGAGAAACTTTTATATATAGTTATTATAATTACAACCTTTATTCATACCATCATAATTTTATATGCTTAAAAATCAACAAAAGAAAAGTTTTAAACAAAAATAAATGTAGACACAATTTTCAAAGAATAAAGCTCTTTTTATATCAGATACTTTTGGAAATAGTCATCTAGTTTACCACTATTGCTAAAATATAAATACTAGATAGTTATGAAGTCACAGAAGAACTTCAGATAAGCTTTATATTTCATTACTAATATCTTATTTGCTTTATAAATTTGCTTTTGAAATGTAGACTCACAGCTGTTAGATTACAATTGGTTATTCTTAATATTTTTCTGAACACTCTGGGTCTCCTTTATTTGGAGAAAAATATTTTTTATCATTTCTATTTTATTATTATTCTGAGAGAAACTTTTTTTGTTGTTGTTAACCTCACCCAGGGATATTTTTCCATTGATTTTTTAGAGAAAGTGGAAGAGATAGGAAAAGCCAGGAGAAATATTGATGTGAGAGAAACACATTGGTTAGTTGCCTCCTGCACGCACCAAGGCCCTGGCCCAGAAGGAGATTGCAACCAAATTATGTCCCCTTGACCTGAATCGGACACAGGACCCTACAGTCCGCAGGTTGATGCTCTATCCACTGAGCTAAACTGGCTAGGGCTAAAAAAAAAACAAAAAAAAAAAAAAAAAAAAAAACTTTAAATCACAGAATGTGTAAAGCCCAGTGTCTAGAAACCATCACTTTTACTTACTCTGGTGAATTAAATATACTCATTCTCTGAAAATTAATACATAATTCAAGCAAAGATTATCAGAAAATAAGAAATTTACCAAATTATGAAATTGCAATACAATTAACAGCAAAATTCATATAATCCAGAAATCACTTCAGAATCTCAAGTGTTACAAAGTCATCAGTATGAACACAAAGTGTAGGTAGCTCTGTGGTAGCAGATGTTATGATACATTGGACAAAATTTATACTGTTTGGCTGTGTGTTTTATTTTCTTTTTAAATGTATTTTTATTGATTTTTTTTTACAGACAGGAAGGGAGAGGGATAGAGAGTCAGAAACATTGATGAGAGAAACATCCATCAGCTGCCTCCTGCACACTCCCCACTGGCTATGTGCCCACAACCAAGGTACATGCCCTTGACTGGGATCAAACCTGGGACCCTTCAGTTTGCAGGCCAACGGTCTATCCACTGAGCCAAACCAGTTAGGGCATGTGTGTTTTATTTTCAATGATTGTAAAATATATATTCAGCATCTATATTTTTTTCTATTTTGCAAAAATTTCAATTTAGGAAAAAAAATAATTTATTATATTTAAATTACTATGTATGAAGTCACACACACACAAAAAAATCTTCCTTTTATTTGTATCTCTTCATTAACTGGCCATACCATTATGAGAAAAATAGATTGTTAATATATCTTCTAATAAAGAGTTTTATAATGTGCCTCTATTCCGGAGAGCCCAATTTCTGTGATCTATGTCTATTGAACAGTTAAATAGCAGCAATAAAAATATTATAGTATTCTTTATCACATTATATAATTCACGTTGATATTTTTAAATTAGATAGTTTTCTTAGTATATTGATAATGTAGCTTTATATATCAAAGTTCAACTTATATAATTCACAACCACAAAGGTTACAAATCACTTCACGGTATTCCTATATATTTAAAGATTCCTCTTTGGAAATTTGTTATCTAGAGGAGATGATGAAAATGAAGTAAAGTTTTGTTGGAATTTCACTTCATAAGTTATTTTTAAGAGCTCAGCTTTATAAAACTAGGGAGGAGAGGTTTCTAAACACTTAAAAATAGTACACAAGTTCTATTGATATTTCTCTATTGATGCTTCTGAATTTCTTTCCTAAAATTTATTTTCTTTTTAACACTAAGCCTAAAATTATCTTTTGCTCTTTGAATTATTAATCACTAGAGTCTCAAAGTGTTTTAAATTTTAAAAATACTTTATTTCCAAAAGAAAAGTTTTATTTTATGTTTCAAAGTCTTCTAATTTCTTTCAGGATTCATGTTAGCTCTAGACAATAAAAATAAAAATGTTTTTATGTATTATATTGATTATATCAGGACTTAAATAATGGGCAAAGTTTGTTTTTGCTAGAAAAAAATTCATATGCATATAATTGTGGTGTGTTTTTTTTTTTAAATATAGCTGACAGCTGACTTTTAAACACTATTCTTCATTGATTTATGTGTACACATGATGTTCTCTGACAATCTGTTTTCTGTTCTACACAATGTTATATTCTGGTATGAATAAAAATATCTATAAGTGCCTGCCCTTAAGGGTTTCACTCAATTTGATAAGAAATTTCTAAATGAATATATAAACACAATCCAATAGACAAAGAGTGAATTTAGGGTTATATCTATTGCTATGGGTACACAGAAAAGAATACCTCACTCCACAGTGCATTTCTAGAGGGTTCAATGAGAAAGTATCTTTTGATTTGGATTTTTTTCAAGACTGAGTAGGAGTTTAACATGTAAAGAAGATGCTAAAGGAAATTCCACTAGAAAACAAGCAATAATAAAAAGGAAGAAATAAGTAGAATACCTTTGTCCATTATATGAACCGTGAGAAATATGGATTATCTGGTTTACAAGACAATATTTGGTCCAACATTATGGTCATGTCGTTTTATGTCAGATTCATGCTAAAGAATTTGCATTACATTAGAGATATAACACTTAACAGATTTTATATCAAGAAAAGAAATTACCAGATTTTTCTTCAGAGAAAAACATACAAATGCAAGATGGCTTAAAAGAAGTAAATAAACTGGAAGTACATAGATAATTACAGAAATCCAGATGAAAAGATAATGATTTGAAACAGTAAGTGGTAATAAGAATAGAAGGCTTTTAATAGAATTAGGGAGATATTTTGAAATAGAAACTATTCATAAGAACGTTTGTTGTTGTGTTATTCTATAAACTAGAAGTCATATTTAATTCTTGATTCAGTGTTTTGGAAAATGTTTTGTGGGTATGAAAATACCTTCCCTAGTTTTTTCTATGAGCATCTATGATATAATAAAAGGAAAAAAGAAAAGTAGAATATCTCAGCTGGTGAGAGAATGTTCTGCTGTAACTTTGTCATATATTTTATATACATAGTAGAGGCCCAGTGCATAAAATTCATGCATGGGGGGCCCTCAGCCCAGCCTGCTCTATCTTCAATCCGGGAATCCTCAGGGGGTGTCCAACTGCCAGTTGAGGCCCAATCCCCAGGATTGGGCAGTCAGACATCCCTATCACAATCCGGAACCTCTGGCTCCTAACTACTCACCTGCTCTCCCCCCACCCCACCAGCCCTGATCACCCCTAAATGCTTCTCCTGCTGACCTGGTAACCCCAACTCCTCTTTCCCCCCGCCTGCCTGGTTGACCCTTATTGCTCCCCCACTGACCTGGTCGCCCCATCTTGACCCCCTTGCAGGCCATATAGCCTCTAACTGCCCTTACCCCTAACTACTCTCCCCTGCCAAACTGCTCACTCTAACTGCCTCTGCCTCAGCCCCCCATCATCATGGCTTTTTCCAGGAGGATGTCCAGAATTAAGTACAGAAGATGTCTGATCTAATTAGCATGTTACCCTTTTATTATTATAGATAAGTATTTGCCATATTATTCTCTACTCTTCTATATGTATTTTAAATACTCCAGAATATTTTAAATGAATAAAAAGTGGTCAAGTTGCAGAAAAATAAAAGTTTTGAAATACAACTGGTAGAGTTGAAAGCAACAGCATTTTTGCATAAAAGAGTGTAAGTTGCAGTCGGCAACAAAATTGTTAGGATTGCTTGATTAGTATTCTTTTGTTGGAAAGGCTTGGATCGGGCAAAGGAGAAAAGAAACCCAGCCTTGTAAAAGGAAATGTCTGATTAGACCATTGCCACAGCAGAGAGGGGCAGGTGCGGCAAAGGCAAGGATGTCTGTGTGTATGGGACACCAAAGGACCCCTGTCACACCTGAAACACAATTTGCTAACACAATTGCAGAGCTCAGGAAGAATCACTGTTTTTAAAACTATTATTTCCCTGACATATAAAATATACATACATATATTATAAGTATACGTGCACTCTTCTAAGCTTCCCCTGCCTTCCACTTAATTTTTGGCTAGGGCCTTCTTTTCATGTCAATGAATTGGATGTATAGGCATAATTTTTAATGGCTACAGTGTTATCCCTGACTGTCTGACATTACTACGGTTTACCTCACTAATCCTTTATTGTGGGGCAGGTTGTTTCCGGTTTCCCCTGGCATCAACAGCTACAGCAAACATTGCTTATTCGACTGTTTACTTAGGACACATTCACAAACGTGGAACTCCTGGCCCAAAGCTAATTCACTTGAATTTTGATCCACATTTCCAAATTGACTTTCTAGGAAGTGCTTCTGTTTGCTTAGTCCATTGGTTTCAAATCAGATTACACTCCCACAAATGGGGTAAGAGGAAACTGTTCAACATGCCTTTAGCAAGTCCCAAACTCTTGCTGAACTTGAGTGACCCCTTCCTGGCATAGCTGTCTGTGTGCTTTTCAGGGCACTTTTATAGGAAGGAAAGGGATCCTGCACCCCTATGGCTCTCCCGAGGGGACAAAGCTGGAAAAGCAAAATGTCCTAAGGAGGTGGAGGTGCAGTGGGGAACTTCCCAGCTGGGGAAGAACGCACCCAGACAGCCCTGCACTCTGGGGCTGGGGCGGGGCACATGGGGCAGGGCCAGCCATGGGCAGGCCAGGGGGGAGGGCGGGGCAGCTAGGTTGAGTCCCCCTCTGGCCCCGTCCCTGCCAGCCCTGAGTGGTAAGAGCCCCCTGGCATCTTTCCCTGTCCCCTTCCCCAGGCAGGTGGGCGGGACAGCAGGTGGTGGGGAGACCATGCCATCACTCCCAGTCCTAACACAGAATTCCTCACACTGTGTTACTGAGAAACCTTAGGTAGGGATAGACCACCATGTGAGGACCAGGAGGATCTGGGCTGGAGGATGAAGTCCAGGGAGGCACAGGTGGCACAACCAAGGGCCCTGTGTGGGTGTGGGCGTGTGAGTGTGTGTGTCACTTGAGTCCACATTCATGCACACACCCACATGCCTGCACCCCAGTTCTACACCCTTGGCCACCAGGAACCTCCACAGAGCCTGCTGTGAGCTCAGTTGCTCCCAGTCCCAGCACCAAGCAAGTCTGAGACAGTTTCTCCAGAGGACTCCTGCCACACTGGAGAGAGTTAGGACTCAGACTGATGCCCCGCCTCCCTCCTCCTGCCTCCTGCCTCCTACCTCCCACCCCACTTGCAAGGCGTCCCTCCTCCATGCACCTCCTGGTGACCGGTTGTTTGGTTGTTTTGGTTGTTTTGGATGTTAGTCCACATCCCCCTCCCAATGCCAGCCTGCTGTCCGGTCATCTGTCCAGTCGTTTAGGCCCCTAGCTTTTTATATAATAGGATTAGCTCTTGCTATTTAAGATATTCAGTATCCATCCATCTCAGACACCTTTTCCTCTCATGCCCAATAGCAAACATCTAAATTTATGTTTTATCTAACACGTTTTTCGCCAGGAGTAGTGAATCAGATATTGGAAAAACAAATATATTCCATTAATCCAGAAAATTAAAAGCAATAGACATTCCAAGTAACTTGACATTAGTCACTTGTGATTCATTCATCGTCCTGTCATCAAATGAAATGAACTATGCTACAAGAGAAAGAGCAAAGTGGTTTGTCCTTCAGATGTAGACTGGCTAGAGGTAATGGCAAGCTGCTTAGAGCTTAAGTTTTCTCTGTTGAGCAGCATCAATGATGACATCATTAACTCAGATTGAGATTAAATAAAAGATAATTGCTCTTGGGAGCAAGCAAATTCATTTTAGAGGTTTATTTTAGAGAACAGGAAAAGCATGCATTTAAGTTGTTTAGAAGATAATTGTGTAGATAGATCTTGTACATATAGATGAACAGTTTAAAATAGTTTTTTTATTTGTGTCTATGACTAGTCTACACAGATGCAAGTGACACCAAGAGAGTAAGT